GCAACCTTAAGAGCAATTAAATGCTCTTCTCTTGAAATGTCACTTTCCCACTCTGGCAGCCATTTTGCAAATTCCTAAGTTAATATTCTCCTTGGGATTCCCAGCCAAAAAAGCATGCAACTTTAAAAACCTACTATTTCTGCTATGTGAGAAACACACACTCTCTCTGTCTCTCTGTCTCTCTCTCTCTCTGTCTCTCTGTCTCTCTCTCTCTCTCTCTCTCTCCCCGTCTGTCTTTCTCTCTGTCTCTCTCTGTCTCACTGTCTCTGTCTCTCTCTCTTTGTGTGTGTGTGTCTAAGATTGGGTAACCCACACAATCTGGAATTGTGCTTCTGAGTCTGAATAACTGAACACCTCCTTCTGCTGAACCCTTTTCTTCCATCTGTGATCCTCATACACAACTTTCCTGAGCCCACTGCTGACCATGCCTGGTCTTCAATCTTAGGTTCCTTCTCACTCTCTTCCTATATTCTGTTCTCTCAGGCAGTATGGAACAGAGCAGTGGTTCTCACCCTGAGGGGAAGTGGCCTAGAGGGATTGCTCTCAGAGAACAGTTGACAAAGTACAGAGATAGTTTTAGTTGTTGTAGCTGAGGATTAGGGGAGACTACAGTATAATACTGGAGGTTGCTTAGTAGCTATCCTCCAATGAGTGGATAGAGTCCTAGAACAAAGATTACCAGACCCAGAAAGTCAGTAGTACAGGGGTGCTGTGGAAAAGAGCAAGCCATGGCCCTCCTATGACAAGTACCAGTAAGGCGTGCATCTAGAATCTTATGCCAGGTCACAGGTGCATAGCACAGTATGAATGGAATTTAAAATGCTTATCTGTGCCTTAACATTACCCTATGCTGAAGAATTGAGCCTCTAAAGGAAAGAACAAATTTGATTTAAGAACGGGGTGGGGGGAGGATTGGGCATTCATTTAAAATAATAGAGCTCTGCAAATGTCCCTTTTGAAAAAAAATTTCTGAATGTTTTCTAAGCACACTCGGTACTTGGGCATTCATTATCTAACAGTGTGGGAAATTATGTAACCATTTCTAGCTGAGTCCAATTAGCCCCTTGTGTTTCTCTTCAAGTCACAAGTGTCTCAGAGCCATTGGCTTTCATTGTCAGGTTCTTTGCTGTGTCCTGGTTTCTACACTGCTGAGTAAGAGCACCAATCAGATTCCCTTGACTTGAATTAAAAAACATGTTCCTATCTGTTACGAAGCCCTTCCCAGCAGTCCACATGCACATGCACTCACATACATGACACATGTAAAACCAAAGTACGGTTTACAGAAAAAATCCAGCAAAACTAGTGTTGTAACATCTTGAGAGTTGGGTTTGACAGATCACTGGCTGCCCTTCCAGAGGATGCAGCACCCTTTCATGGTTACAATGATCTGTATGTTCAGTTCCAGGGGACCCAATACCCTCTTCTGGGTTATCTTGAGCACCAGGCTCACATACGAGTACACAGACCTACATAAAGGAGACTCATACACATAGAATAAAAACATCTAAAAACTAGCTTTGTAGATCTTCTTGTCTCTGATTGAAGGGAGACATGCTGCACTTCCAAAATCTACTGTATCTGGCAAGTAGCTCCCCAATCCCAACACAAAAGAGATATGGTACCCAGTCTCTTAGCTCACTTGCCTTCACTTATAGGTCTTACTTGATTGGTCATCTGAATCAGGATTCATGGACTGAGGTTTCTAAAACACATATGTGAGGTTACTGTTGACCACATTCTCTTCTGCTGGGTTTCCACAAGGCACATGGATATCTTTAAGCTCTTATAGAAAAAGGACCAAATGAGACAATCATCATTCCCTGGTACATTGCAGTTGCTTCAGATGTGATGGCTGATGTGTTCAGTCACACACTAGTCCCCCAGGAACCGGGGCAATGGTGAACATGCCTGTGAGATGTCTCTGTTATGAATGTTATGTGTATTAATTTATTGTGCTGTTCATTAGCTTTCAGAGGGGAGTGTACTTGTCTCTATAGTCAGAAGAGAAAGTGAGTCTCAGATTTAGAAATCTATTGAATTCTCATATCTCTAAAGCTGGAAGGACTTAATCTGTAAGACTTCCTTCTACCTCTGAAGATGTGACACCCTTAACTAGATGTTGGGAGATGTAAATCCTTTAATTTATGGGAGATGTAAATCCTTTAATTTACCACTGGAGGCAGTGTGGATTTGTTCATTTTGAAAGAAGCCCATTTTTTTCAAAAAATTTTTAATGTTCTTTTCGTTTGCTTGTATTTTGATTTGTTGTTATTTTGATACATCTGATTAATATATAGTTTAAACTCTTATCCTCCTGCCTCAGCCTCTGAGTGCTTGGATTACATTCAGGTACCACACACCTAGAATCCAGTTGTTTTAATGGACAAGTGGAGCTCCATCACTCCTCCTCACACTGAGTTCCTAAAGTTTCAAAGTAAAGCTCTGAAAACCTTGATCATTCTTTTCTTTCCCTGAAGTTTCCAAAAATCTGCCAACAGAAAGACATTCATGAATTAGATGCTCCCTCCAGTCCTTCTTCCAACACTGACATGGCTGAGGGACTCTGGAAAGTGGGCAGTAGGTGCTCAGGAGAGCTGCATGGAGCTCAGGGAGGCCTGCAGAGTGGAGTGGAACAACCCTGACCTGTAACCAGGAGAAAGCAAATAGTCTAACACTCTGAGAGCAGGACTGTGTTGTTTCTCACTGAACTTGATGAGACCCTCTGAGGTGGAGCACCAGGAGCTGTCCCTATGGTAGTTACTGACGGCACAGCTACTCCTCAGAACTGGCTGTGGCTGAGGAACATGTGAGGCTCCATGAAATCATTCAGTCTCTCTGGTTCTCATCCTCTGTTGACTCTGTGAGGCTGTGTGATACCCTTTGTCCTGGTGGAGAACTGAGAAATCAAGTCTTGTGTGGAGACTGGTGCGTGTTCAAGTGAAGGGCGTTGTGATGAAATACCATGTACCATGAGCCTCTATCGATGCTAATAGGATTAGTGAGCGGATCTGAACCACTTGGCTCAGTGTTCCCCACAATCAATCACCTGCAGCCGTGTGGACTTTACTATCATTTCATTCTGCTCAATCACTCTACCTGATATGAGCGTGCAGTATCACATGCTACAGGTGTAAAGATAATGGAGTGATTGTAATTACCACACATCTTATAACATACAGTTGGGGGCGTAGACGGTCTGCATTTTAAGTGAAACTATTTAAAGTAGTTTACTATTTTAAATCTAAGTGAACACACTTAAAAAATGCATGTTAGTAAAGACAAGGATAGTGTTTTCAACTACACACTGTCAAAAACTCTTCAAGAAGAAATAATACTGTTTTATTACAGCTACTGGGATCTGCAGAGGGGAAGTGTGTTGCCATCAAGTTCAGCACTGGAGTGGCTGGTCCCAGTGACTCCTGGGTGTTTAGTTTATACCCATGACTTCATTGGTCCCATCTATCCCAGGAGCCATTGCTTTTAATATTTATTTATTTTTATTTTGTGTGTGTGTGCGTGCTGTGTCCTGCCTCCAAGCAGCCTGAGATGAGGAGCTGTCAAATACCATTACTGGATTCACTCAGGATCTCTTAATTATTAGCAGTGGTCAATTGAGCATATGGACATGCAGGTATCCATCCATAGAGCATACACACACTGAGATGAAAAGTACATCTACCTACTTAACCTTTCTGCACTCTAGTGCTTCTTATCTTTTTCCTAGTCCATTAAAATAAAATCGTGGATTTCCTAGCCCCCCCCTAGAGATTTCCACACACATTCTGAAAGTCAATAACTTTAGAAATAAAACCTAGAATTAATTTTTGTATGGGTGATTTAAAACCAGAACAATCCTTTATTTAGGCAAGCTATTTATTTCATAAACCTCTGTCTTTCCAACTGTGCACTGAAAAAATTAATAGTCCTATTAGGTGTTTTTTTAAAAATTAAGATAAAATGAAGATGAGCTGATAAGAATACTCAGCATGGCAGACGTGGACACCTTTAGTTTGACCCTACAATCTCTAAAATAAAGTCAATGATGTGATTTCACATTGAAATGCAGAAGCAGCCATAGAAAAAGGAAGGGATTAGCATTCTGTGTCTTTGGGGAGATTTTGCTTATTTTGAGGGACAATTGGGTAATTCTTAGCATACTCTCTCTGTGTGGTCAAGGGCATCTTCTGAAGTCTGATCTCTGCTTTTGATCAAATGCAGCTTCACAGCCAAAGGGCTGAACAGTGAGTGTCTGCTGCTGTGGTCATTGCTGGGTTAGCCATGTCCTTGGGGTATGATGTGCTTGCTTATGAGAGTACAGATCCTTCTTGTCCTTGTTCCTCTCCCCGAATCTTCCTGTCCCTGCCCTGATTGTGCACACTGCTTTAAACAAACTCATGTCCTGTTTCCTTAACATGGAGAAAATAAATGTACTCATGTCTGTTGTTTTTCCTTAACTGAAACCTGGAGAAATCGGCAGTCATGTGGCCATGTGGGTATTAAAGGCAGTGTGTTAGAGGAGATCTGGGCTAGGGATGAAGCTCAGGGATACAGAGCTTGCCTAGCCTGGGAAAAACCCTGGGTTAGACCTTCACCAAGTGGGGAGGGGAGACATGAGAGGAGGGGAAGGAAGAGAGAGAAAGAGAGTAGGGTTGATGGGTGGGACCATTGGAGGTCTACAATAAATTGTACTTTGCTGGTACTTTGTTTTCCTATGACGTCCCACACATTATCCTCCTCTACTCTGAACTATGAGCCTATTTCTTTTAAGTCATATATTAACCAATGGATACACTAAACTGGTTTGGTGCAATCTGAGGGTGGCTCCTAATGTGTACCAATCTGGACCAAGGAACACAGACCTGGAATGTCTCCAGCTCCGCCATCAAGAAGGCAGATGTTTCTTCAGGTAGCATCTGTTGTCCAGACATCCCCATAGGACAGACTTTTAAGAGCATGGTGTGCTACATCCCTGTTTAGAAACCCAAGCAATTGCTGCCATGGCGGGGAAGCCAGTCCTTCACTACTTAGAGCTCAGGGGAAGAATGGAGGCTATCCGATGGCTCTTGGCTGCAGCTGGAGTAGAGGTACGTTCTGCATGTGTCATTTGAAGTCGAACCTGAAACTTCTTGTATCAAACACTTCCCTCACAGGAACTGACAAAGTGTCTTACTGAATGACCTAAGATAAAAACTGCCAGTTCTTAAGTGATGTAGATTATTATTTTATCATCAATCATTAACATTACAACATAGCTGGCTGGGAGAGATGGATCGGCAGTTAAAACACCTGAGTTGGATTCCCAGTGTCCACTTGTGGCAGCTCATAACCACTTGTAACTCCAGGTCCATATCTGTATCTTCTACCACCCTCCCTGCACACATCACACACATCACACACACACACACACACACACTCATATATTAAAAAGAGAAATAATAAAAATAAATCTCAAACTAAAAGTAGTGTTAAGTAGTTCATAAAAACTATACACTTTCTTTAAATTTGAACTATAAGCAAAATGGTAAACCTGAAAGTTATGCCATTTAGAGAAATAATAGAAACATGGACATCACTTTCTTGATGGTGTTCAGGTCCTTTACTGTTCAGTGTTCTCATGTATTGTACTTGTTTTCTTACACAGATTCTATGCATTGTGATTTGTGTGTGTGTGGATCTGGGTGTACAGATGCATATGTGTATGTGCTTAGGCACATATGTGGCCAGAGAATTACATTACATTTCTCAGGTACCAGTCACTATTGATTGGTTTGGTTTGGTTTTTGTTTGTTTTGTTTTGCTTTGCTTTGCTTAAAGAGAAGTCCTTTCGCTGGCCTGGAGCTTGCCAAGTATGCTAGGTTTGTTGGCCAGGAAACATTTGTGCTTCTCTAGCTCTGGGATCACAGACTTGCTCCACCACATCCAGCTGATTTATATGGGATCTCAGGCCACAGGCAGGTGCCACCACACCCAGCTGTTTTATATTCTTGAAAGTAGAAAATGCAGCAGGATATTCCTCTCTACAAATGAAAGATGCTTCCATGTTGAGAGCCTCTTTTCTGCTTTAGAGGAACATTCCTGCCACTGTTCCTAAAAGTCCCACTATGGTCCCTTGTCAGACTGAGTTCCTTGGATAGGCGGAGGGCTGAGGGCGAGAGAAAGAAAGACAAGGAGTCATATGGTAAAGACCAAATGCTATATTTTCAACTGCATAGCTCCCTTTTATACTCCCCACAAAAACAGGAACAAAACAGGAACAAAAACAGGAACAAGGAGATACACTTGGCAGCCTATCACCTAAGTTTGGATTTCTCTTCAAGCAGTCTTTTTGGGAAATGCATAGAGACAGGGGAGCTGGCACAACAGCACAGGTGCAGAGGATGGTGACTCACAATTCACCCTTTTTCTTTTAATTAGAGGCCGAGCGGAGACAGAGACCATACCTTCATGAAAAATGGGGATATTGTAATGACCCCCAGACCCCTGCCATTGTACAGTGAGGTGGTATGGTCATACCCATTCCGGTGTCTTTTTCCTGAGGAGGGGAACTGTATTGACACCAACCCCTATGCAGCCAGGCATGTCTCTCAGGGAAAACTCCCTTGCAGTCCCAGCTGCAGCTTGGGCCTAGGTGAATAATTACGTTTTTTGTACCATGGTCAACCACACTTGGGCAGAGGGATCCTCTGAACCGTGTAAAAGCACCAATCCTCGCACAACAGCTGGAGATTGTACCTGTTGCACATGAAGGCAGCACAGACACCCAAAAAACAAGCATCAGCAAAATTAGGCTAAAAACTGCCAAGGAAGTGATCCAGCCCACTCTTTCACCAGCATTCCCACTTGATGAAACATGCTCAAGATAGATGACCCATCAATAGGATAAACTCTGGTATTATTAACTAATACAATCTTATTAAAGAGCTGCCGAGTAAGATAATAACAAGTAGCATTCCAAGAGCCAGAAATCAACTGATTCAAATACTTAACAGAAGAGGAAGCATTAATTACATGCACGGGTGTAACACAAATGGCATGAAAGAAGGGATCATAGCTAACATGTCTGGTGGATAACATAAAATCTACTTGTTCTTGAACCAAAGTAATTTGTTGATTTAAATTTAAAACAGCAATATGAAAATGAGACTGAATATCACTCTGAGAAAGCAATGCATCTGCACCCTCCCCACAAGTTCATTCAATGTCTGGGCAGTTTGTATGTTGCTGGATAAGGCAATGTCTGTGCCCACAGCGGTCCCACAGCGATGGCAGTGGTGGCAAGGATCTGGTGCCATGTTGATGCAGTTCTTCCAGGTGGTGGTGGAGGTGAAACGGAGAACATCACTTTCACAAGAAACTCGCTCTCCGTTGTTCCTGGTCTTGATGTCCCCTTTGCTCTGACGTCCCTTTGTTCCAGTCACTTCCTTCATTTCAGAAACACACAGCTTGGGGTTGAAAGCGAAGTACATTTTCCCTGACCTAACGGTCAGGTTCTGGTGGTTCCAGTCCTACAGCTGCTGCAAGTTCTGGTTTTCCAGGACATAGAAGAAGTAGTTCCCTTCTAGCTGCTCCTCTCCTAAGATGAGACGAAGGTTCTTCAGGAAGGACAAGGAGACCAAGGCATGGGAATGGCGGAACCACCTGATGAGCCTCATGAAGTTCTCCAAATTTGAGGCAATGTTATTGCCTTGCCGGATGTTAATAAGCAGACTGCCCTTCAAGATGGTGCATCCTTGGAGCATTTGAGCAGAAGTAACCGAATCGATGGGTTTCGTTTTCTTTTCTTCATCACCGCACTCTTTGGGGCAGGGGCCTTCGCAGGGCATACAGTACATGCTCTGGGTGCTGTTGCGGAGGAAACCTGAGGGACACTCCTGCATGCACTTGCTGCCATGGATGACGAAACCATCCGAGTCACTGCTTTCTGCGTTGGGGATGTTGGCACAGAAATCTCGGTCCACACAGCATCCCCGAACCTGTAGGCGCCAGGAGGGCAGACAGGCACGCACACACCTCTGCAGTAGTAGTGTCAACAGGCCACACAGGCTGTGCTGTCGTCAGGTGTATGGCAGCTGCCCAGGCACTCCGGATGGCAGCTGCCCAGGCACTCCGGATGGCAGCACACGCTGTTCTTGGTGCAGGCTCACCTCCTGCACACACCTGGGCACATTCTCTGGCAGCGATCTGCAGTCCAGCGGAGGCAGCTGCACTCATCATTGATGGTGGTCCTCTCACACATGGGCCTCCCCTCCAATGTCCCTGGACATAGGTCCCCACATTCCCTTGGGGGCTTGTTCCCCACAATGCAGCATCCAAGATGAGAGACCAGTCCATGTTGGAGAGGCAAGAGAGGTCAGCTTTTCTCTCAATCCTGATGCCCCCCCCCGAGTATTGTTCCTCAGACTACAAAGCCTAATATCCCTGAGATTGGTCATCTCAAAATGACCAGTGTGCAGCTGCAGTGGTTTCCAGCCGTGGACCGTGAGGTTCTGGAAGAGGTTCCCCAGGCTCTCGAGGCCAGCCACTCAAAACAGCAGCAAGCACTAGGTGATGACTGTGAGCCTGGGGAAGCTGCAGCCTTGGCAGTCCCTGGCCTTGGAGATGAGCAGGAAGTGGAAGAAGCTCCCGATCACCGCGCAATTCTCCAGGCCCACAGACCTCTCCACTCCTCAGCCAGAGCGAGAGTGCAGCAGAGAGAAACACAAGCCCCCACAGCGAGGTCGGGGACCCTCCTCCGGAGCCAGACCCCACCCCTCTATCTGGGACGAAAGTCTCCCCTATCAAAAAAACCCAAAAAAAACAAAAACAAAAACAAAAAGCAGATAAAAGTCTCCAACTCAGTCCTCACTCTCGTCTAAAAACAAGAGCACAGGCAATGATCCTCGAAAGCGATTCTCGAAAGCGATCCTCGATCCTCGAAAGCAGCGTGGACAGGGAGGGTGGCATTTGCAACCCAGAGATGCAGAAGAGGGAGGAAAGCTGTACAGAAAGAAATCGCCACAGGTGAAGACAAACGCCCCAAACTGATTTTCTAAGGAATAAAGGGCCATGGCGATCGGCAGCAGCATAAAAATCACCTATTACCATTTCCCAGTCTTCTAGCTTAAAAGTGCCGCTCACCACAAACCATGGAAAGAATTTTTGTAAATTCTTCAATAACCCTAGCTTTAACAGCGGTTCCCTGCTGAGCCAGAAGAGTAGATAGTTGCTTAGCCAGCAACTCCTTACTATGCGCCAACCCATCGCGTTTACTTACCCTGAAAACTTACCTTCGGTTCATATCCAATACGTCTCCTGTCCTGATGCGTGCCCCGGAGATGGCCAGTCAGCAATCTTCCTCATCTTTCTGATCTCGGGGAAACCTCTACTTGTCAGCTACGCCAGCATAGCTGACTGAGTTCCTTGGATCGGTGGAGGGCTGAGGGCAAGAGAAAGAAAGACAAGGAGTCATCTGGTAAAGACCAAATGCTATATTTTCAACTACATAGCTCCCTTTTATACTCCCCACAAAACAGGAACAAAACAGGAACAGGAACAAAAACAGGAACAAGGAGATACACTTGGCAGCCTATCACCTAAGTTTGGATTTCTCTTTGAGCAGGCTTCTCAGGGAAATGCATAGAGACAGGGGAGCTGGCACAACAGCACAGGTGCAGAGGATGGTGAATCACAGTTCCTCTCCTCCTGCCCAGTTTTTAATCTATACATTCTCTATGTAGGAATAGCTCTGCAACTGCTATAAGCTATAAGAGCACCTTTGCATGGTATGTGGTTGACCCAGCATTGATACAGAGTGTGTGATATGCATTGGATCTGAGAGTCCCTTCAAGGGATGGGAAAAGAGGCGTGGATGGCCTTGCTGGTGAAAGCCTGTTGCCTTGACTTGGCAAGTGCTGAGAGTAACAGGCACAAAGAGGAACCCCACAGATTTCTGTTTACTTTCATGCATACCCAACATGTCAACAATAAATGATTAAAGCATACACTCTTAGGAAATGAATGTAATTACCCCGATAATACATACACCAGATGAGGTGGGCAGGAGAGAGTACAAACCCTCTGTTAAGTATGAAACATGTTCATTCATATTAGCTAGAGATGTCAGGATTTTTTTTTTCTGGGTCCTAGAGATATAGGGTCATAAAAGACTGCTGGAATGCTTGCCCTTAGACATTGTATTGTCACCGTAATAACCATAGTTTTCATCTTAAAAGGAACAAGAGATAGCTTGTTCTATCTACTCATTGTGAGTTAACGTGGCTCACGGAACACAGATTTATGTCAAGCCCCAAAACCATGATCCAACATGAAAGAACTTTCAGAAGGTTTTTTTTTATTATTCTTTTACATAACGATAAAGGTAATAAATCAAGCCAAGTTTAAAATATATTGGTAGGCATTTATTATCTCATCATGTTCAATGTCAAAGGCTTCTAAAAGGTTTGTATTTATTATCATGAGATGTTAGTTTAGATACAAGGAGGAACAAGGAATGACTGCTCCACAAGGCTCAAGCTAGCCCAAGCTAAAGGAATTAGACTGCAAACCTGTAAATCCCAATCTCTGCAGAGCACTGATATTCCCATAGTGTCTGCAGACAGACTCCTCCAGAGGTTTTTGGTTCACAGTGAGACACAGCTTCATTTTAGAAATTTTTCATTCACAGTATGAGACAGGGAATCAAGTGTTTTGTTTTTTTTTTTTTTTTTTTTTTTTACAGGGCTAAAAGGCAGTTTTTATTCAAACTTTTTGCTCAGTAATCTAGTGTGGATCTTTGTGATTCAGCTGAGCAGTGCTCTCTCAGGCAAAAGGATCCCACAAATGGGTGACCAATTTTCCTAGAAAAGAACTCAAGAAAACTGCCAAGAGCTCTTGTCCCTGGGAGGTAGCGGTAAGAAAGTGAGGGCCACTCATATGAGATCTTATCTTTCACCTGAGCTTCTACTGCCCCCTCAGCTTCATAGCAAGGTGTTTTCCAAAGCTTAGAGTTACTACCCACTCACAGCCACGCTGTGAATGAATCTATTGGGTGGACCGATCCTATTTCAAATTCAGTGAAAAAACAAGGGAAAAAATGTGTTGAGTCATCACAGATTGTTTTCTTCATACAAATGAATGTCTGGTTTCCAGGGTAACCAGATGGCAGCCTTGTGTTTCAAGACTTCCAAGCCTCTGGGCTGAGGAAGGTCAGGACAGACAGAGCAGGAAGCAGTGTTGCCAGCTCCCTCTCCTGCCTCTCAGCCTGACTGAAGAGCCTGCTGAGAAAAAGTGGCCTGGAACCTCTGGCTCAGAACTTCTGTATCCACAGAATGATCATTGTCACCACACCCATCCTCCACATCATCATCAGCATCACACTCCAGGCCCATCTCACCTTGCCCAACCTCCTGAGATGACCACTTTCTAACCCTTATGTTTTTCCTGGGCTGGATGTTTGGCAAACTGTTATCATATTATCTTATTGTCTCTAGAGTGTGATACCATGGGATCATATAGTGCCACAAGAAACTGATCCGTGGAGCATGCTAAATAAGCCCAAAGTCCTGAATTTTTACAACCAAGAACTCTATGAAAGTCAACTAGTTACTGAAAGTAACACCTGTGTATTATGTAATGGTCTTTGCTTTCTGTGGGGCAAGTGAGGTACTGAGGGTTTTGAAAACATTCCAGTATTCTTTTAAAGAAGAATACACTTCCTCTAACTATAAATGAGGAAATGAAGTCTTTCCCACATCAAGTGACTGGTCGTACCATGTCACAGCTAACAGGATACTCGGCCACAAGTGCAACCAAACATGTCAACTCTAAGAGTCCCATGCCTTGATGACTCTTTCCATGGACTTTCCCTGGGCTCTGCCTACAAACAACTTGTATTATTATATACAGTCCGCCTGTGCTCTTTCTATGAAATATGCATGGCGACTGTAGTTGTAGCAGATGCAAGGCCCTGCTCCCAGCAGGCATCACAAGCAAAGTGACTTATTTCAGAAAAGCTTGTAGGTTATGGGACATGGTTTCAGGACAAAGTACATTTTTTACCAATATGAGAATAGTTTAAGCTATATTTTAAAAAAGAAGAGATGTTGCCAAAAGGTACCTGGGAACAAGAATTCCTGAATAAAAGCTAATTCTGCAGAAGCTAATGAAGACCATGGAAAGTTTGGCTGTCACTGACTCAGAGGCTAATTACTATCATAGACAACACTGAGACCCCTAAGGAGGCATTCTTTGTCCACCTCTGTATCAGACCTAACACCCCATAAACAGATGAAAAGTTTTAGAATGTATTTACTTCACCAGAACTGATTCACCACCAGTCAAAGGGTTGAGATGTGATCAGATAGCACAGAGATCTATAGTTAAGATTCCACCACATGGCTATAACCCACCACTATATTGTTTCCAACATGTATATTTTAAAAACACCTTTGACATGTGACTTCTTTGTTCTGCTGCCATAAAATTGATTCCATATTGAAACAATTGAACTTGGTTTAATCTAAATTTGTATTCTCGGGCCATAGCCAATCAAATTTAGATCCAAAATAAATTTTGTTATCTCCCTTGAGTTGAGAGATGTGTTTTTGTGTATTTGCATCCATCTTTTACAATCCTAATGATGTCTCCACCCCTTGCTAGCTACAGCCTTTGGGAGAGTGGGCCACACCTACCCTGGACAGCATTGTAGAGCTGGCCCTGGTGGTGTTAGGTACAGATGAACCAGCCCAAAGTTATGAGTGTCAGAAACCTGACCGGGTCCCTTGTTGGTCTTTTGGTGGCATGGGCACAGGAGAAAGTCAAGCTGTCCCCCATTGGTAGCCCTTGTTTGTTTTTTGTGGGGAAGGTTGCAAGGGTGGATGGAGGACACGGAGGGATGGGGAGATATGTGGGATCAGTGTTGATATGACATTCATGGAGAGTCAAAAAGAAGTTTTTACAAATCTTAATAGTGTCATATGCTTGCTGAATACTTAATATACAAGTTGTCTTTTTAAAGGTGGTTTGCATGCTTTAGTGATTTAGTCTTGAGATCAACCCAAAACAGACATTGTAAGGAAATGCAAGCTATAGGGTAGGGTACTGAGACACAAGAACACCCAGTAGCCTGGCCGATGTAAAGAACCTTATACATTCAGAAGGCCATACCCAACTCACAAAGCCATCTCAGAACTCATAGATTTTAATAACAATATTAATGTAGAGATATTAATTTCTTCTTATATTAGGAACTCTACGTAATTGTGCCCCATTTTCCAGGAGAGTCAATTTTACTTGTAAGAGTAACATAGAAAACAGGAAGTGCTTTACCCACAGCAGGGCTCCTGAGGACATAAGTGTTGTTAAGTACAGTCCAAGTCTATAGGCAGGATGTTAGACACAGGCTCATGCCCTGTTCCATTCTGGAGACACACACTGTTCCTTCTGATTACACTTGGGACTGGATAAAATATTACAAATTCATAGCCAGAAGAAAAGATCAGTGTTTCCCTGCCACTGTCATTCCTGTAGCTCATGTCTTAGTCACTGGCACAGGAACAGTCCTAGGAGAGGTGACATCAACTACAATAAGGAGAAGCAATGAGTTGTGACCACAGCTGCTTTCATAAAACACCTGCTATAAGTTCCCTTAAGCCATAACCGGCTCCCCTGTGTACTTGACACTAAGTTAAAAGAAAATAGCTTTCTTATTTCATATATTCTATGGACAGGACCTTTAAAATGAAAAGTGAAATTAGTTAATAAGATTTGTTTACTCTTTCTGTTTTCTAGTTTGAAGAACGATTTCTGACAACTCGGGATGACCTGGCAAGGTTAAGAAATGGTAAGAAACAGATCTAAATGTTCCTGAGGAGGGTTCTGGTGGAAGTTTTAAACATTATATTACCTACCTAATTCTTGTGTTCACTGATGGAGAAGGTGGTAGATTGTAAGTCATGGGTCTTCTCTATGTGCAGATCTGAAAATCTCTCAGTTAAAGGAACTGAAAAGCTCTTTATAGTTGCCCAGAAACCATCCGCAGAGCCCCATGGATGTCCCATCTCTGCTTACACATGTTCTCTGCCTTACCTCAGGCTCCCACAGTGCCCTCCATCCACATACAACTCACTGGATGCCAGGAGCAAATATGTCATTCACTTACCTTGAGTTCTAACAGGTTTAACATACTGATTCGCTAATACTGTATTCTAGGAGTAACAGAAAGATGAGACTGGTTATGTGGAAGACTATGAGAGAGGATAAGGGGAGAAAGGGAGAAGGCTAACACCTGTTACTGAAGGTCACTGAGCTTACCCAGCACATATTGCCCCTTGGTATTTGTTGAAAAGCACACAATGCCCCTTGATGTTAGTGAAAAACACACAGAAACCTACATAGAAGCAATTTCATGACTTTACTTTGATGTCATGAACAGCATGAAACTTTAGGACTTTCTTTTTTTATTGTAAGGAAACCCACTGACAGTAAAATTATACCTCCTTCAAATTCTTCCTAAAATGTGCATGAAGATGAGATAAACACACCATCACATCCTGTCAACAGATACAGTATTAGGGTTCACCGTAAGAAATAAAAACACCAGTAAAATAATAGGGTACATCTTAGAAGACACTAAAGATGCAGGAAACAAAATATTAAGTCCTATTTTCACTGAGTAATTACTTTTTAAATTTTCAGTCATCTCATCAAATATGCTGTTTTAAATGTATCTGACCATAGATTTTATAACTTATGCCACTTTCTACTTCTCTTTGCTTCATCCAATAGATGGGAGTCTGATGTTCCAGCAAGTGCCCATGGTGGAGATTGACGGGATGAAGCTGGTGCAGACCAGAGCCATTCTCAACTACATTGCCTCCAAATACAGCCTCTATGGGAAGGACATGAAGGAGAGAGCCCTGTATGGTAGACTTTCTCTGAACCATTTAGGTCCTATCTTGAGTAAGCAGAAGCAGGGCAAGGGATTCATGAACACAGTGGGGTTGTGTGCTTGGATGCACATACACTGACATCAGTTAGGAAGAGTCCCATGGAGATGAGGGAAGAAGATGAGGGGTTAGAGGTGTGTCATTGTAGAATAGGAGATGTTGGAGTCCTGTTTCCAATTGATTTGTCTAATCTTTAGAATCAATATTCTAGCCAATAAGTTTACACGAAAGCTAAGTCTTTGACTGACAATAAAGAGAGGGATCCAAAGATCTGACCTTCTAGTTCTAGTCATTACAAGACATATAACGGTAACCATGACCCTAGGTTACCATCAAAATCTACATACAGTCAGCCTGCCTGTGACTCATATAGTCTGGTGCAGAGACACCAGGGTTGCATCCTGCTTTTGATGGGAACTGAATGAAGACTTTTTGAAGCTGCCAGGACTTAATCATCAGATCTCCTCTCTCCTGTGATACAACCACTCCATTCAAACAAACATCTTCTGTGGAACTCTGAGTTGTTTCTCAAAAAGCTAAACATCAAGCCACCAGCAGTTCCATTAATAGATGAATACACAAGGGGAATGAAAATACATGCTCAGGAATCATTGTACAGTGATGTACCCTGATGTGCTATTTATAATGTAATAAAAAGTTGAAAAAACTAAGCCAAGTGTTCACCAAAGACTGGATGCAGAGAGAACACTGCTTGCCAGACATTCAAATCATTCAGAGTAGGGTGTTTCTGGATATGGTGACGTTTGCCTTCAATCCCTAAACTCAGTTACAAAGGCAGACAAACTTCTGTGAGTTTACGGACAGCCTGTCACCATCATAAATTTCAGGCCATCCAGAGCTACACAGAGAGATATTGTCATTTTTAAAAACATCTAAACGGTTTGCTAATCTACAGTTAAAATCAGATTACTGTGACTGGCTCCATGACACCATCAGGGTTGAACTGTTTTTCCATAAGTGTTCACATCCTTTAGCAATAACATGTGAGTCAAGAGAGCTTTGGCAGAATGCTTGTCTGTTTTTCAGCATTGACATGTATTCAGAAGGTATGGCGGATCTGGATGAAATCGTTCTTTTTTACCCTTACATTCCCTCTGAGGAGAAACAGGCAAGACTTGCAACAATCAAGGACAAAGCACGGAACCGATACTTCCCTGCTTATGAAAAGGTGAGTGGTGAGTGAAAGCTGACTGACCTTCCACACATTCAGAGGGTCTGATAGTCCTTAGGGGACAGCCTTGAGCAGCCAAAGTTGCTGTAACAAAATGCCAACAACGGTGTGAGTTAAACCATACTGTGAGATATAAAATCAAGACCCTGAAGATTGATGTCTGGCCAGACTTGTTCCTTAGATCATGGATGCCTGTCTTCACCGTCTTCAATTGACAACAGGTTGTAGGAGTTCTCTGGAGTTTCCTTGTTGGGAGCAGGGAAGCCATTCATGAGCACTTAACCTGTAGGGTCTATTTCCCTCTCAAGGGTCCTACTTACTAACAGCATAGTGCTGTAGGCTTGGGATCGGTTCAAGACTATCTGTATTTTGAATTACACAGGAGATTTGATCTTAAAAAAAAAGAGAGAGAGAGAGAGAGAGATGCTACAGGATTGAACTTAGGTTTCTCAGCAGCAGATAAATTGAACTGAGAACCCAGTTTTTCATAGCCTCTTTTTGTTACACAAGTGTCTTTTTAGGAAGTCAATTTCCGCATACCAAAACCTTGTATCCAATCTAGGGGTTGTCTGAAGGAACCATTACCTATGGAATTCTCAGGTATATGAGAGAGAGTTCTTGGTGTACCAGGTATGTCTTAGGACTAAGTTCTGCAAAGGCTTAAGAAACCTTCAGAAGAGCAACCTTGTAAAATCTCAACTAACAATCACCAACTATTTACAAAAAGCCACTTCAAAGCCTAAGTAGCTTCACTCCAGAATTCATGTCAGATGCTATGGCTCTGCTAATATTCATTTAGACAAGACATGGCTAAAACAGAGTTAGTTTTATGGCTAACCTGGGCTATATGAAACCTTATATCCAAAGTAAGAGGAAGGAAGGAAGGAAGGAAGGAAGGAAGGAAGGAAGGAAGGAAGGAAGGAAATAAATACAGAAAGATAGACACACACAGAGAGAAAGAGAGAGGGGGTGGATGGATGGAAGGACAGAGGGAGGGAGGGAAGGATGGAGGGAGGGAGGGAGGGAGGGAAAGGAAGAGAAGGAGAAAGAGAAGAAGAGATGGTTCAGTGGTTAGGAACACTGACTGTTCTTTCAGAGGTCCTGAGTTCAATCCCAGCAACCACATGGTGGCTCACAATCATCTTGTAAGTGATCAGATGTCCTCTTTTGGTACATCTGAAGACAGCTTCAAAGTACTCATACATGAAATAAATATTTTTTTCAAAAAAAAAGAAAAGAAAAGAAGGAAGGAAGAAAGAAACAAAGTTAGTTTGAAGAACACATTGGGTATCATCTATTTGATGGCAAAGTCAGCATTCTGTGGTGTTGGCTTTGTTGTATATATCCATTCCTCCTCATCTCTGCCCACACACCCTTCTTTCCACCAGCTAACCATGGTGTTTCTTTTCAAGCATTTGGAAACTAATTGTAGCCATGGATTTAGTTAACCCTGTGATGCTTCAGCAGTGCTGAGGATCCCAGAGCATAAAGAGCCTGAGCCAATGTTGCAGAGATGACAGTTCAGGCTTACTGTAGATGCCACAGACATGAGAACACTGGGAAGCAGAATGAGGAGGAAGGTAGTCACTGAAACGGTCTATACATGTGTGAAGGGTGCAGTCACACAGTGAAGCCACTTCCCACAGAGACTACAGAGTGTCTGTGGGCCACCCCCAAATGTCAGGGCTTTAGGGTGGGTAGGAAGAAATGGTGCCTGTGGAGCTAGGAGCTTGTCATGTCTCTAAGATGTAGTGAAGGACAGATGACAGATGGTCAGAGATCCGTTTCTTGATTTTATCATGAGCCAGGGCCTAGAGACAAGCATGGGCCACATCAACACCTGACAGGGCAGGGAAGGAGCATTTGATATGAGCGGCTCAGGAGAACTCATGGGTCCCCAGTCTGACATCAGTTGTCTTCAAGATCCAACTAACATCTTGAATTCCTCAGGTGTTGAAGAGCCATGGACAAGATTATCTCGTTGGCAACAGGCTGAGCAAGGCGGATATTTACGTGGTTCAAATGCTCTACCATGTGGAAGAGCTCGACACCAGCGTTATGGACAGCTTCCCTCTGCTGAAGGTACTCTGTTTCATATAGGAGAGTCCATATCGTATTTATGTCATTGAATCCAATATTTTAACCAGAAGGTTAACAGTGATGTAAGTTCCAGTGTTGCTGGACTCTCCAACCCCAATAAGCCCATATAAAAACACACAATCCAGTTATTATAATTATAAGCTATCTGCCTAGATTGGGACGATCTAACACTATACTACCTTATTCCCCAGCTGCAACATCCCTTGCTACTTTCAGTTTCTCCTGACCACATGGTTCTAGTCCATCATGGCTTCTTCCTTCTCTTACTCTGTTCTCTCTCCTTCCCCTCCTGTCCTCTTTTCCTCTCTACCTGCCCTGACTCTAAAACCTCCAGTACCACCTTTCTTCTCCACTGCCCAATCACAGGCTCTAGCCTTTATTTACAAGTAAAAATGGGGAGAAGATTCACATGAGATCACCTGAGTACATGATGCTCATCGGGGACAACCCCTCTTGAGGAAACAGAGTTCACATCAGAATACAAACAGCATCAGAACAACCCATGACATTCCAGTTTCTCCCTGCCTTCACAGCTACCCCTCTCTGCCAGCCATACCTACAAAATGACATTTTAGACCCAGGTTCCAAGACATGAAAAGCATCCTGTCACATGAGGAAGTCTAAGGTGGATGCTCTCTCAGGACTCATATTTGGTCTTGTATAATGGACAGAACCCAGGACCTCACTCTCCCTACACCCTCTTCCACCTTGGATTTGATCCTGATTTCAATGGGATTCTCTCTATCAAAGGTGCAGCCTTGTCCTTCCACACTGAATGTGTCTGGAGAGGTCTTTTTCAGGCTTCTACATTAACTAACACTGTCTTTCTCTCTACAGTGACCTCACTTCTTCAATCATATTCCATCTTTTTATTATTTATATATTTATTTATGTATTTATTCACTTATTTATTTATTGTTCGAGGTAGAGTCTGTCACTGAGCCTGGAGCTCATCAGTTCAGCTAGGCTGGCTGACCAATGGACTTCAGAGCTGTCTGTCTCCACCCTCCGCACCACAGCACTGGGGCAGAAACACATACTTCTCTCCTAGCTCATATGTGGGTCGGGGGATCCAAACTCCTGTCCTCACGCTTGCAGAGCAGGCACTTTGCCCACTGAGCCATTCCTAAGCCCTCCCGCTCTCTTTATTTGCCTTTGTTTTTCATGGTGTTTGTGAGTAAACCTTGCATATAAGAGGCACATGCTGTACCACTGGGCCACACTGCCAGTCCCTGCTACTCCCAGTTTTCTTTCTCAGTGAAGGTTGGTATTGACTGGATCCAGGTTTTCAGGTTCTCTTTTCTACCACCATTTCTGACTCTATTATCCCAAATGATCATTTTTATCTATTAGGGTGTGTCAATGTATCAGTATCTGAGAAATTGTTCATCCTTAAAGTCTACAGAAGTGATGAGCCTGAAGGATTAAAGTCCAAAGAAAAAGAGGGAACATCTTGAATAAAATGAATCTTTAAGATATGTTGGGACAAAGCTCCATCTCCTTCCTCTCATTTTCATCCTTTCTGGGTGTCTGTCTCCAACCTCCACCCTGGTGCTGATGGAGAGGCTGGGTTGGTCTTTGACTGGCAGGGGCTCAGGGCTGGGCCAACAATAATTCTTTCTTCAGCTGCACTCTGAGGCTCTGATTTGTTTGTTGCAGGCACTGAGAACCAGAGTCAGCAACCTCCCCACAGTGAAGAAGTTTCTTGAGCCTGGCAGCCAGAGGAAGCCTTTTGATGATGCCAAATGTGTAGAAACTTCAGATAAGGTTTTCAGTTAATACAATCAGCTATGGATATATTATACCCACAAAGCCAGCCTTCTAGAACTTTGCAACAATGAAGTGTTTTGATTAAGTTTGACCCTGCTTATTGGGAGGCTAACATGTTTTCTAATCCTGCTGTGTTAATTCATATACACATGACTGATGAGGAAGTGCTTGGGTTGCTATTTGGTTGTAGTCAAAATTGTAATTATAATTTCTTCCTCTGATATTACTTTGAATTTCAACAAAATCCAAACAAGCTTCTTAGACTCTGGAGTATTCATACGTTGTCATGAAATAGTTGTAATGTCCCTGTGAAACAGAGGAGAAATCCTGAAGTCAAAGTCTGTCTTATGCAAAAAGAATCTTTTCATAGAGACAGTGAACTCCTGACTAAGTACACACATACGTGCATCCTCTCACACTGTAAAGAACTGTTTTCCTTCAACTAATTAACCTTGTTTTAAATTAATTTCTCGGGCTGGTGAGATGGCTCAGCGGTTAAGAGCACTGACTGCTCTTCTAGAGGTCATGAGTTCAAATCCCAGCAACCACATGGTGGCTCACAACCATCTGCAATGAGATCTGATGTCCTCATATGGGTATCTGAAAACAGCCACAGTGTACTTACATATAATAAATAAATAAATCTTAAAAAAAAATAAATATAAATTAATTTCTCAAATCGTATATTTATGTTCAATATAGAGGAATCATTCATCCTGGCACTGCATGAATGAATCATACGGCAGACACAATTTTCACTGTGCTCCTGAAGCTCTGAATTTATTATTACAAAAGTAATAACAACTCAGGTATTCCTAATACACAGTTGGTATTCTGAGTCCCATTCTTAAGTCTTCTAGAACAATGTATACAAACCATGTGTCTTAAAATACTATAGGTTTATTGTCCCACAGTACTAGGGAAGGGGTATGTCTGAAATTGAAATCCTAGAAGCATCAGGCTCTCTCTGAAGGCTTTCAGGAAGGAACCCTCTTAGCCCCTTCATGGCACCTTATGGTAGCCAGCTATGCTGAAATTCCTTGATTTGTTGATATGTAACTCAAATCTCTAGCATGGGTGTGTGTGTGTGTGTGTGTCTGTGTATGTGTCTTGCCCTCTTCTTATAGGATACTAATCAGATAATGGGAAATTTAGTATGACCCCAATTTAGTATGTATATCTATCTGTAGAGACCATTTTTGTTTAAGATGATCATCAGGCCTGTGGCTTCTGAAACCCACAGAACTGTGGGGAAGAAAGATTCAGGAGCGCTCAGAAGGAGGGGAAAGAAATCAAATAGGATACATAACAAAATCCATTTATCCTGGCATACCCAAGTCTTTCTGAGAGGCCCCGAGGAAAGGACAAAGGAGCCTAGCTCTCTGTCCTTGCTCAGAGCAGACTTGGCAAGGACAGTCTGGGGCTGAGCCATAAGCCTTGAAGGAATTAACTTATCTTGTCCTTGAAGAGACTGAAATTATCAGGCCCAAGGCTGCTATGTGCTGGGACATCTCTTGAGATACCCTGGGTTCCCTTTGGGCAACATTGTTCGCTCAGCTTCCCATTTCCTGACTTTGTCCCATTGTATGATGGAATCTGCTGACTCTGTCCCATCTTGCCCCTGAAAACAGTAATAAGTGTTCTAGGCCTAAGACAAAGCTTCTGCAAGACCTTCCCCCTTTCCCCCTAGCTTTTATCCTTTCTACCTTTCTCATTCTCTGGCACCTCCACCTCAGGATCCTGTTACTGAGGAAAGACCTTCTATTGCTACTCCAGGTCAGTCCTCCAGCTCCTGAAGAACAAATGGCAAGACTCTGAGAAAGGAGTCATATTCTTTCATGTAGATCCAATGCTCCCAGTCTCCGGGCACAATCAGAGGCCATTATCTGAGGCTTCACAGTAACAAGGACAAGGATACAAGCTCTAGGCCTGACTGCATGGGTTGGTTTGGGGATTTTAGTGGTGGTGGATGGATATTTTGTTTGTTTGTTTGTTTGTTTGTTTGTTTGTGTCATGCTCTGAATATGTAGCTCTCTGGTGATACTTGCTACATAGCCCAAGCCTACCTTGGATTCGCAGTGATTTGCCTGCCTCTGCCCATCCTAGCCCTGTGATTAAAGGCATGCAACCCCACACCAGGCATCTGCCTGGTTTAGAATTCCATCTCCGTGTGTTAGTAGCTGTTTGACCCTTGTTGGGATGTTATATTACACTCCAATTACTCTCCATACATCAATGCTGGCAACAGATTTTCCCTTTCATGGACACAGGCAGGCTTTCCACTGAGACATCCACTGTGAGGGTCCCTGCTCCCAGCTGACTTTGACTGGTAATAAAGAATTTCCATACAGCCAATGGCTTGGCAGGGAGATTGAAGCAGGACTTTTAGATTGTGCAGGGAAGGGACCTACAAAGGGGGGGAAGAAGGACAGAGTCACCAGGCACAGAAAGCAGAGTTAAAGCCCACCAACATGTAAGAATCCAGGAAAGTGTCCCTAAGGGCCACTCCTTCAATTGAGTCTCGAATAACAGAGATAAGATATAGATTTTAAAAGATATTAACTCAGGAATACTATAAAGGAGTGTATGCTAGCCTCGGGAAGGTTTAGAAGTTTCCAGCCATTGAGCTAGTAAGGCTTATCAAAATTAGCTGGCCTGTGTGTCCTGAAAGGGCTGCAGGTAGCTGCCTGCTATTAGAATACAGAGTAGGACTGAGGGACCCTTTACCAGGCATTGCCTGGCTCATTCTGACTCTGATCACACATGGTTATGGCTGGCGGCCCAGACAGACACAACTCTTCTGGCTTCTGTTGTTTCTATTTTTGCCTCTATCACCAGGCCTGAATCTCAGCTCATGTAATTGGAGGAGGTGGCCAACTCATATGCCCTGCCAGTGCCTGCTGGCGCCCTCTTCTGGAAGAGTGAAGGATAAAAACACCATCTTGGCCAGGAAAGGGAAGAGGGGAGCTGTGTCAAAGTCTTCCCAGCTGAGTTTAAGGAGCTGTATAAGTCTCCTTGCTGTCCACCATAGAGAAATGATTTACTGTGACTTAAGGGGCAGCAAACACCACAGCTCTGGACTTCAAATGGACTTTGATGAGGGAGGCAGAGCATTGTCTCTGTGCCTTGGCTTCCCTTTCCAGGCTCTACAACTGTCATCCCATTTAAAAGGTCCCCCACTTAGGGCTGATCCAGGACTAGGAGTGGTGCAGCGGGTAGCTTCAGCAGAGGGTATTTATTCTTTGGTTGAGATCAAGGACATGTGAAAGTCATTTGTGAAACCAGGCACCAGTAGCACAGAGGAAGGACAGGAAGGTTTCCCCATAATCAGAAGATCTGGGGGTGTTCACAAGTGCATGTGTCCTGGGTTTCTGCTTCATGAGGAACTCGTTGGAAGAACAAGCATGGCTGTCCTTATGTAGTTCCCTCCTCCTCCCATCTCTTCATTTAGTTCCTGAACACACCCCACCCACAGTCTGTGGAGAAATAGCATTTTCTGAAGACTTCTTACATAGCCCTAAACACTTGAGTCCAGACTGTCATGGTGTCTTGTAGATTTTCATTCCCTCTCCCCGGCATCAGAAAGGCTGTTATGGCTGGTTCATATTCTCTGCAATAGTCCCTGGAGATAACTGCTTGAGCTGTGAAGGTGACAGTATGGGAAATGTCAGGCACAGAGCCAAGCTGGCCCAAGAGAGAGGTTACTTGTGCTGTGGGTGGCAAGAGGTGTCAAGGCAAGGCCACCAAAGATTTTTGGAGCCCAGATGATGCCATCACAAGCTCCATATGCCAGACATGGAGATGCCATGTTTGGTGTTTCCTTTGCTGACTTTCAGTGTGGTTTTGGTCCAGACACTCCTTGCTGTCCCCCCAACCCCCACCCCACCCCTGTTCCTCTTTTTGGTAATGAGAGCCTTTTTTCTCTGTGCTGAGATATATTGGAACTTCATGTTTTTATATCACTGGGGCTCACAGATAAGAGATTTCACTGAAGCTTAGAAGTGACTTTGGAAGAAGAGTTCTGAAAAGTGTCTGTCGTGTAGGATCAAGTGTAGCACAGACTCTCAAGCTTCCTGCACTAGAGCTTCTGGGGACATGAGCACTGAGCCCTACCTCCAGGGATCCAGAGTTACTGGCTTTGGAGTAGGGCCTGAGAGTCTGCTCTTCTAATGCTCTCTCAAGCGGTGCTCACCCACGTCTGGGCACCAGCCTGGGAAGATCATTGTGTCTGTTTAAGCCTAACACTCCAAGAAGGCTCAGCTAGAGAGCAAACAAGCAAACAAAACCTCCACACTGTTCTGTAACCAACTCAAAAGTAAGATGAACTCAGGAGAAATAGTCACCACCCTCGAGGAGCTCGCTGAGCAATGTGTGAGGTGACATCCGGTGGGCGAAGAGCTTCACAGTGAAGGGCATTTGAGAAGTGGAGAGCCTCTGTGACAAGCTTATTGATGGAAAGGACCTGACTGACACAGTTGGACTATTGGGCAAGCCTGGGGATACAATGTAGGTTTTGGCATGGGGTTGGAGTATGTGTATCTGTCTGTGCCTGTGCCTGTGTGTGTGTGTATATATATGAGTGTATGTGTCTGATTGTGTGTGTGATTGTGTGTGTGTGTGTGTGTGTGTGTATACTCAGAGGTAAAGTCATGAGTATTCTGGCTCCATAGCTTTCCTAGACAGGATAAACTGTTTGATGCCAGCACACTCCACTGACACAGGACTGTGTAATACCGGTTTGGGGAGAGCAGAGCTTCGGAGCAGGATGAATTCTACCCTTGACTGCATTCACTTTTAGGAGATCATATGTGCAAACAAATGTCCTCAAGGCTGCAGGCAGTTGTTAGAAGTACCACTGAGGGAAAAAAGCCTGAACATATTGTTCTTTTTTATCCTTCTTGTTTTGAGAGATAAGGTTTCTCTGTGTAATCCTTGCTGTCCTTGAAGTCACTTTGTGGACAAGGCTGCCCTCAAACTCTCAGATCCCCCTGCCTTTGTCTCTCAAGTGC